TTCAGGTGAGTCAGCGTGATGACGCTGTGGGCACAGACGAACAACAAAGAGGTGTGGTCTACCCGCACATATTAGCAAAGTCTATTTTAGCGCCCCGAGCAGGTGAAAAATAGAATGAGATGAGACAAACAATATTACGAACCTTTTTTCCTAGGATGTCGCTACTAGGAACATCGTCATGGACAGGGCATTCTAATTCCTCTCATACAGTGAACATAGTGGAGGTGCACTATAAATAAGAATGGTAAATGCAAGTAAGTAGTTGGACTGGTTGAGAGTGTTTAGAGTATAAAACGAACGTGAAGATACCAGATTGCAAAAAGAAAAAGGTCAACTCGGCTTGGGAGGGGCATTTTGTAAAATTCAATCAATACACCGGGCAATTTTGTAAAGTCATAGAAACGGTGAAGCTATGAAGCTAAACTAGATCACTTCTGGAGATGTTTCGATAAGATGACTGCTGTTTGAGCAGTCGCTGGCAGCTTCAAACGTCACAAGAATGGAACTCGACCCGCTACACGTCACGCTTTTTCGCGAGTGAGTGCGCTTATCCGTTACGTCATCAGGACCTGACCATCTCAGCTTGACGGCTTCTATCTCGTAGCTTTACAGCACCCATAAATTTGACATCATCACGAAACAGCTTCAAAGCTTGTGAGAACTACGAACGGAGTGGCGTGTCGGACGAGATGGGTTTGGCGTGGTGCCAAACCAGTTCTCCACTAGTTGCTGAAACGAGCGAGTGTTTCTGATCGTTCGTATCACTCTTTTCTACCAACTGCTATCGCATACCTCGCATAGCCGTTCAGCAACTGGTACAGAACAGGCTTGGCGCCATGGCACACTCATAGTGCCTCACACGGCTGTTTATCTGAAGCGAACTAGAGAATGAAGTTTTGGTCTCGCGGTTCACTGCCGAATATCAGCGGCTGAACGGCTCTGTGTAATTGCTGTAAAGCTACGCCATAAAAGCCGTCCGCATTTTGCTCATATTTCAGCATTCTTTAGATAACTATTAGTAGACTTTCCCAGGAGCTACATAATTTGCCTGTGAAGACGAGGACCAAAAAAAAAACACATCAAGAGCGCTCCAATTGAAGTAATATTCTTACTATCCCGAATGGTTTTGAGCACTGTAAGATTAACCGTGAAAAACTCTGAGCACGCCAGAACGACAGGAGAAGAGTCGAGACGGGAGAAACTCTGTCTGCTCCATAACATTTCGTATCATAACTTCTGAGCCTTTCCACGAAATCGAGGGTAGAATATTGGGGACACTCCACATAAAATGGTATGACAAAAAGATAAGGCAAAATAGGCGCGAAGAATGCATACTCCAACAAAACTCAGATTCTCCTACTTTCCTCAACATCGACATTTTGTAACTGTTCCGCTCTTTTGGCAACAGTTCCAAGTAACGCAACAGCTTGTTTGCCATCCAATCGGAGAAGGGATAGTGAACTCAGGCAAGCTGCAATAGTTTTTTTTTTTTTGCTCAAATGAGCAGTTTTGAGTTTTTCAGGTGGGGATTCTTCTGATTAGCATCAGAAGAATCCTCCATCTGAACAACTCTGTGCTATACAACACGAATCAAGAAACTGAGTGAGTATGGGCGTCATTGCTCTGAGATGGGTACTTCGGAAACTGGCATCCTCAAAAAACCTTTTTGCACCAAGGAGTCAGCTCAAACATCCTCCCCCTTCATCGTCACACATCTACACAGCGCGGGGGCTGTCTAAGAACATGGCTGAGATACGTTGATGGGTAAAATATCTGGTGGCGTAGCAAAGAGCGCCAAAAGCAGCCTCGAAGCATTCTCCTACGTGGGCATAGCGAACGGCTTCGCTGCGCTTGTGGATGTCACGCCGCGGCTGAGGCGAAGCGTTCATAGCTTTTCTTCTTTTCTCCACGAGTGATCTGAAATCGTGCTCTTCGCTGACTGATGGACAGCTAGAAAGCCAAAAAAGTTTTTTTTCAAATGTGATCGATTAGTCACATCGGTGCGAAGATTAGTGGGGGAAGAAGAGGCGCGCTCGCTGTCGTGGCGCGAATGCGCCATGAGTGGGGGATTTATGAACACGGCCTAGTGCCTCTATATCACTGTTCGTAGTATGCTCGGGCAATATTCATTCTAAAATCAGATGGCCATATTTGAAGCGTTTCCAAGCGTCATCTGCTCTTTCTTCATTAATATTTCAGCTAGCTGCCACGAATCCATGTTACTTCACAGGATAAAATGACTGTTTGATAACTAATCCTAGGAATCGTTATGTATCTATCCATCTCGTTAGATCCAACAATAAGGGCTGGAAGAGGGGGGGGGGGGGAAAAGTGTCAGCGAACTCGTTTCGGGAGGCAGGAGGATTCGTACTGACACTCCATTTCACACATCACGCTGTTCCCCTGTTTCCAGCCCATCGGGAAAAGGTAGGAATACGGCATTACCTAGTTTTCCTCTTCGATGCTCGCCAGACAGATCTTCACTGATTTTCCTTAATTTGTTGCTCGGTCTCATCACATCGCCTTAATTTAAAGAGTGAACATGCATGGTACTAGGAATTACGCAGAGGGCAATGCAGAAATAACATTAGGGCGCGCAAACAAAAACAAGATGGCTATCAAAATTTGAAAAAAAACTTTCGTGGGGAATATCCCTAACGTGATGGGCTATGCATTCGCCCACTCAGACGCAGAAAATAAATGGTGCTAACGAAGTGAGGGGGTGAGTAAGGCAGCGTTCATACTTCGCGACAGCAGTAGGCAATCGCCGCGATCGTCGGTATGCGACATAGCGCGCCCAAACGCTATACCGACCAGCTGCGAGTGTCAATTTTTCGAGGCGAGGGTGGATTGGCTCAATTTTCTGCTTTTTTTCATCTAATTGCATTTGACTCAGGTAATAAGGCTTGTTTTGACTCAAGAAAAGGTGGATAAAACTTAGTAGCTCTTCTTTTCTATTTTTTTTCGATTCGGGATAGAAGCGAGGCAAAGCAAAGGATAATTTCTTATTGTTTTTTTTTACAATTCTTTGAGCTTATACATGAACTCATGGACGTTCTTTCTCCCAAGTCATTCGAAATCTGGCCCAGTTTTGTACACGACTTCTTTTACCGTGAACGGAAATGGATGGAAATTTGTCTCGGTTATTTCCACCTCGCACATGAAATATCACATCCGTTTGGCGCGAAGCCTCCTCGCGCCACAGGTGCCGGCGCCAAAATACCCCAAACCACCAAATTCGCTGAAAACTGGCGCCGGCGCCAACATACCCCAAATTACCGGCGCCTATGGCGCAGGCGCCAGGTTTCGTGCCAAGCGAATAGGATATTCGTATTCAGGAGGTCAAACTACCCCAGGAGACAACATTTGAGCCAAATCTGTCCACGGAGAAAAAAGTCGGTCAAAAACTGGCTCGATTCCGGATGATTGGGGCAGTAAAGGGTAAATAGTGCCAAACTCACATATTAAGTGAAGTTGCACTTATCCAGGCCTAAGAAAGGTGAAGCCCACAGCCTAAGAAAGGTGAAGCCCACGGTTAGGCAACGTTCTACTTCGCGACAGCACCGGCGATCGCCACGATCGCCAGTGCTGTCGCGAAGTACGAACGTTGCTAACCACTTGACCTTATTCAATCTGTATTTGTAGAGAGCAGACGACTAAAGTTGGCGAGAGATAATACCGCGGAGGAGACACTGTCTTCACAGAGTCTAAACCTTGATAAAGGAAGGACACGGAGACACTGGTAAGGATCCCCACTCCCCCCCCCCTAACTGCACTCCATATCCCGGACATGTGATGGGCGTGGCCACGCATTTTACTCGGGTGTAGAGGCAGCCGCATTCATTGTGGTATCTTGTCGTTTTAAGCAGTTGTAATCATGCCTTTGTCGAATATTAACAGGATGACGCTTGCCGCACAAGGCAATATCCCACGAGAAAGGTTGGCAATTCAAATTCAGTGCTCTGCCACGGCCCATCCCAACTCCGAAATGCGGAGTGTGCTTTAGCTAATGAAAATATACCTAGTTGGGACGCAGTTCGGCGATGGAGGGGGGGGCATTCTTCCTTTTTTTGCCTCTTCCCATCGACGTGTCCGAGCCATTGATAGAGCCTTACGAGTTAACTGTTTTGTCGTGGTGGCTGGACGAGCTCTACGCAAGAAGTTGACAGATTTCACAGAGTGAGACTTGTAAACCGCGAATGCTGCGAAGGGCCAAAATGCTCGGCTCCCTCCCCCCCCGTCGCCGAACAGCGTACCTAGTTGATTGGCGTGATGACCCTGAAGGGGCATTCCAGTCAACTACTTAGTGTTTTGAGTGCTGATCAAGCTGAATCGGAGCCTGCGACACCATGAGCGGTCAATTTTCATGGAGCAAATGATTGGCAACGAAAGCATCCGAAGTAACCTAACCCTACTGGTGACGCCGTCTATGTTCGGGTCCGAATCAAAAATGCCGCTGTACTTTTCAAGTGTGGACACAAATGGCATCTACTGGCCCAGCACTACAGGTTTTCTACTCATAGGTACCTTCAACTCACGCTCCACAGAGGTCTTTTGGGCCACTTTTCGTGCAGTTTAAGCTAGAGGCGCAGCTCAGCAGATGTGTCCACCACCTTTGCGGGAGACATGGCCGATCATCCGACATATACCTCGGAGGGATCCTGTTCATGATGCATGTCTGCCGTAGGGCGAAAAACATTGCAAATACACGAAAGCCCTCAAAGTATCTTCTCGTCTGGTAGGCGACACCCCCCCTATCCATTTCCCACCTACGCACCCTCTTTAACTCTCTATTTTTCTCTAGTTGCCACTTCTCTTCCCAAACTGCTGTGAGAGCGATCGAGCACGATCTCACACTTATCAATGCCATTTTTTTCACTTCCACGCCGATGAAAAGCCAATCTCTACAGGATTTCCATATATATACGATCCGTTTAATTAAGGTTGTTTTCAAGAACCTTCTGAAAACATCTAGCTTTTGATTTTTAGGCTTCAACGCCTTAGGTAAGCCCAATTTTATCCCATTGACTAATGAGGTTGAGATCGAGGTCACTGGCTTCCGTGAGCGGAATATTGCCAGGTGGTGACACAAAGTAATCGTCCTGCACACGAGCAGCATTTGTACAAACTGGAAAAGTTTAGATCAGAATCAGCGGCAGGTTGGGGTAGGTATCTAATGTATGCCGGCGAAAACAGCAGTTTTGATAGGCCCACGCAGCGGCGCGACTAGACTTGGCCTCGCTGAACTAGTTCGCGCGGACACTGATCGTCTGCGCTCAGCTGGAACCAAGCCTTCGATAGACGAATGGACACAGACGCTTCGCCGCAGGGCTTCATCTGATCAAAAAGAGACCCTTCCGCAGTGTGACGAAAATCTTCTTATCAAATGTAAACCTCGCGCGGAGAAGTTATTTGCGTGGTGAGCTACCTTGCTCCAGTAGTTAGTGGACCTTTCAGTGGGTAAGTTTGACTTCCATGCATGAACTCGCTCGTTCTGAGGGGACCATTTTAGGGCGCTTAAGGTAGCTAAGAGAATCAGGCAGTCAGCAGCGAGAATGGGCCACGCTCATTTTTCCCGCATGGCTAAACAAAGTTTTGTGTGTCAGCGTGATTACGCTGTGAGCACAGATGGACAACAAAGCGATGTGGCCTAAGCTCACCTGCTAGCCCATCCATTTAAGCGCCCAGAGTAGGTAAATATAGAATGAGATGAGGTAAACAATACTACGAACCTTTTTTCCTAGGGTGTCGTTACTAGGAACATCGTCATTCACTGGGCATTCTAACTGCTCCCACACGGTGAACATAGTGGAAGTGCCCTAAAAACAAGAATGTTAAACTCAGATAAGTAGTTGGGCCAGACTGAGTGTTCAAAATACAAACCGAACGTGAAGATGTTAGTGTGACAGAAGAAACGGTGTAAATCGGCATAAGAGGGGCATTTTGTAAACTGCCAATAATACATCGGGCAATTTTGTAAAGTCATATAAACTGCCATACTATGAAGCTAAACTGTACGACTTTTGAAGAACTTTCAATATGATAACTGCTGTTTAACGCTGTAGTCTGCGCTGCGAAAGTTATCAGAAGATTGTTGAGCTATGGGCGAAAATGAAACCCCAGGTTGGACTCGAAACCGCAATTTTCGGGCGAGTGCGCTATCCGTTATGCCAATGAAATCCTCCAACCGGCTTTTGTGCCATAGCTTAAGCACTCACACGTTTCACATCATCATAAAACACCTTCAAAGCTTGTGCCTTCAACCTCACCCTCTCCCCCCCCCCTACTGCGGATATCTAACGATACGGTTGAACGGCTTCCCATGTTAAACGTGTGAGTGCTGTAAATCGGCATGCCGTGGAGAGCACTCCACATGAGTTTCTTCTTGCCCGGTTGGTTTTGAGCATCGTAAGGTCATACAGGAAGGAAACACTGAGCACCCAGACGAGACGATATAGGTCCTATAGATCCCAGACGGGAGTAACCCTATCTCTCCATAGCGTTTTATATGGATACTTCAGAGCCTTACCACAGAAATGAATGAAAAGGGAACTCTACCCACAAAATGGCCTGCTCAAAAAAATCACGTATCTCTGAGGAACCTACCTCAACATCGACGTGTTGTAACTGTTTCGCTTTTTTGACAACAGTTCCAAGTAATGCAACAGCTTGTTCGTCATCAAATCGGAGAAGGGACAGTGATTCAAGCAAGTTGATCAACTTTTTGTCAAAACGAGGAGCTTCAGTGGAGTCTTCCACCTAGAAAATTGTACTATACTACACAAATTCCGAAAAATTCAGAATCGATATTCCAGTAAGGAGGGGCATTTCACTGCAATCAGCCGAAAAGACTAAGGAATCCCATCAACCGCAGAGCCCCTTACTGTCTCCTTGACTCGCCCCATACCTTGAAGTGCGTTCATACTCTGCGTCAGAATACTGAACGTACGTCAGCTTTGGAGCGACTAGGAAACTATATTCGATCCAGCGTTTTGAGGATACAGTAGTGTATCTTAACAAATGAAAACGCTGCCGTATGCTCGAAACGCTGCCGCGAAGTATGAATGCAGTCTTACCTGGCTGATTTCTGGCTCAGAAGGAACCAAAACTGCATCGCCGGCATACCGTCCTTTGTTGGCTACACGCGAAATCGGCCGCACACTGGCCTTCAAAATCCGTTGCAACCACATTGAACCCACGAATTTCAAGCGCTATCCATGCAGATCTTCAATGAATTGTAACTGCAGAATGTGCCAGCAGAACAATTGCTTCTTATTTTATACAATTAAATGTAACTGTAACCCCACTTCCCAATCAAACTGAACTTACTCTCCCCAATCACCTTATCCTTAGCACTGAATTGCTTTCTTTCAGACACCATTTAATGTCCTTAGTCTCTGAAAAAGGATGAGGCCATTTTATTTGATGAAAAAACTTTGACGCATAAAGATAGCTAGCCGCACAATTGCTAACCACGCAACAAGCGAAACAAAAACAAATGCTTAGGTATTTATCGCCACAGAAGCTACTTTCTGCCACCAACGGCTTTTTAAAGCTCCGGAGCTTGTTTCACTCTTTTTCTTCGCGTTTTATTCTTTCGTTCGCAACATCACTTGAATGCTGGAAGTTGCGCGTATGGCAATCGTGACTTGACTTAGATACCCGGTGGGCGTGGCCAAAATAGGGCGAGGGCTTGACGTGGACGGATATAATTAGGCTTCAGCGCTTCTTCCTGAGCTTGGAGACGATAATTTCCTTCTTATTAAACAGCTGTGTGTGTTTCTACTGCTTGAACTAAGAAGTTCCGAGAGGAAGAATTAACTTAGATTGGAATTTATGCTTTTTGCAAAGGTATACATTAGGCAGAGGCGAAAAAGTGGTTATCAGGTCTTACGTATGATCATGAAATCAACATTAAGCACACCTTGAAGACAATAGGAACGTTTACCTTGTAAACGGTGCTCCCGTCTAATATCTATTGCACGCACACCTTTGGCGTTATTTTCCTGAATCTGAGAAGCAGCTCCAAGGCCGCTGGTTGCAGCTGTTCATTGCTTCCGCAGTATCTGCCATTTGGAAGCATCCGGCCAAAAAGCATTCTTGGTTCGTTGCGAAACAGAAGAAAAAGCAGTGATTACAAATGCTTGTGCAAAATGCCAGTATATTCGACTAGCGCTCAAAAGCAGGTTAGAAAAAGGTTAAACAAATGCATTCAATTAGATTCTATTCTATTTTTTGTGCGCTTATGACGACAGAAATGGGTGCTACAAATACAGGGATAACAAAGAGAAATATGAATTTCAAAAGGAAGAACCTAGATAGGATACGGCGTGAGCTACGATATATTGTACGCAGTCGCGGAAAAGAGAGAGTCACAGACTGCGAAAATCATATGATACTATCGCATTGTGTATATTGTGTATCATAGAAACATACTGGGACACCGATTTTTGCTTTTACGATCTACCGAAGTTCTTGAAACTTTATCCCTAATCAACCTAAATATTTTTGGGGCAACTTTTCGCCGTTTTGCAAATGCGTGTCATTCTTTCTGAAAAGTTACTAAGCCAACCGCTAAACCTTTGATAACATGTCCGATTTCCTCTCTTAATAAGCATGTCTGTAAAGCTCTTTGGTAAGCATGCAACTATATTATCCCTCATTGCGGAATTCTATCGTTCAATGTTCAGGTGTAGGTGATGCACTCTTCAACCTTTCCACAGCGCTTAAAGGCAGCGCCCGCGTTCATTTGATGTCCCTACGCCCTCCACAGATGTCGCGGAGGGTGGAGGATGTACTAATTTTGCAGCTCAAAAATGCGAGAGGATGGCGCCACCCGCTTGTGAAGAAGATGCCGCCCTGCCCACCTGGCTGCCATAACTGCTTTGGCTTAGCCTTTAAAGGCTGAGCCCGCTTTCAAGAATAATGAGTTATGGAGCTCATATAATACGTGATCCAGTAGTGAAGAAAAAAGCAGAAAAAATCATGGAAAATGCCCTATATAGAACCCTATGCTGGCCAGGTGGGCGGGGCGGCCGACTCTTCACTAGCGAACGGCGCTATCCTCTCGCCTTTTTGAGATGCAAAACTAGTAGATACTGCATCCGGAGGGCTATGTTATCCAGAGAGGAAGAGAGAGAGAGCGCGGGAACATCAAACGAACGTGGGCGCTGCTTTTGAGACAGGAAAAGCTAAGAGAAACCAACAACAACTGAAAACATTCCGTCTAATGGAAATACGACCTCCTGTCCCTTTAGCGACCAAGTGTGACTCACCGTTGGGAACCCCAAGCGAACGACGTGCCTTACATTTGAGGACACATAGTACGCTCACACACATTGAGGGTGTATGTGACTAGCAGCCCCCCAGCTGTCGAAGCATAGCGGTTTCCCCGTTCAAACATGCGCAGGAATGGAGATACAGGACCGTGAAACACGCTAATTCCTCCATGCTCCGCCTTACACCTTTTTGCGGCGCAGATTCCCGTCCTTCATAACATCCGTCGTAAGCGCGCGTGTCGCGTGCGGCTCCTTGGCACTTTGCCAAGTCCTTTAATTGCGCTTTGAAATACAAGTAAAACGCAATTTCCTGATGCGGATAACATTTTAGGTGCTGCAAAATAAGAACCGAAGATGATGAGGGCTAGAAAGGGGACAAGAGATGGTCTTTGTCCTTTTTGTCTTGAACTTCGAACTCAAGTTCGCATGATGAATGCCAATGGACTGTGGTGTACAGAGCGTTATCTTTCTGAGGCTTCCGTTCTTTGTTCAATGAGCGAACAGAGCACAGCGAAAAGATAAGCTCTACCGGAAACGATGTGTAATAATATATTTGCTAAGCTTTTTTTGATTTTCCGTCAAACGTTAAATTTTACTAATCCTACTGGACTGCTTGCGTCCTGGCACTGAGTACCACCCACATAGCCTTGTCCACAAGACAAAATGTACAATCACGAAGGCG